AGATGTTTTTGCCATTTTGCCAGAAATTTGTTTGTGTTCCTTTAGACAACACAGTAGTGTAGCTCTATTTCTAGAATATAACATAACTTTTCTCTTATACAAAACTGACTGGGACACTCTAATAAAACACAATATTTTGACTTTAGTTTAAAGATATTTTATTTTTCAATTTCTGATCCATGATAACTTCAGCATTTTAGAATCTGGTTCAGGATCAATCCAAGAAGCTATATTGTATAACTAATTGGATATCTCTGGAATACAAACAGGAATGGTCTGAGCAAGTGCTAAAACTATTAGCCCAGCTAGTGTTATGGGAGTTTTTATGTAAACAAAAAATATATCCTAGCTCTGTTCTCTCCCCCCCCCCCAACATAATCTTTCCAGTTGTTTTGGATTTCTGTAGATCCTCTGTCAGCATGATTGGCATGTTTCCTCTTGGGCTGTAAGTAAATTTTGATTTGAATTAGGCATGATTAGCTGCTTTGAATTTGGATTAATCCCCCAGTCTAGTATGCCACTGAATAGCCACTGAAAATCCCAGTGCATTATCTGTTTGCATTTTTAAGTTAAATCTCCAAAGAATCTCCTAATTGGCTTGTGTTGTTAAGGAAACCCCTACAACTTGCCATGGAAACCCCCGCTTTCTACGATGGATTATGGGATACATTTGATTATAAATTCTGTCTATATAGTAGTCAGAATTAACTACCTTCTCATATCACCTATGAATATTCTAGTTCATGTCCTCTTGTAGTGATCTATAAATTGAATTGTAGGACTGCCAGTAGAAACAGTTTCCCTTTCAGTGATGATACCTTGATTATGGAACCCTTTTCTACTCTTGGTCTTGTTACAATCTTCATGCAGCAACTGCTCATGTCTTCCATACAGGTCCATAGTTAAACTACTATGTTGCTGTCTTCTTACCCTTATGCACTGTACAGGCCAGGGCAAAATGACAGTACCTCCCAGATCTTGTGAACTACAGGAATATGACTGCTTTTTTAAATCTTATGTCAGCAACTATGCAAATCATGGAACTGTTTCTGCCATCTCACCCTTGTATACTAGGATCATTCGAGATTCTTTTTATTCCAACAATAACAAGTCTGAGCGATTGTCTTGGAAATAGCTGCCCTGTGTATTTGCATGCTTTTGGGGGGGAGGGAAACGGGGAGGTTGAATTGAATGAAGTTTATCCTTCCTGATTTCAACTTCTTTGAAATGCTTGTCCTCCCCCAGTCTGCAGTATTCCAGGAAGGCTTGGTTGGTCTCTTTTTTCCACCCTCCATTCCCCACCCCCAGTGTTCTGACCAACCAGGAGCTGTGACAACAAGCCCAGCATTGTTCTTGCTTGGCCCTTGCTCAGAGGAAGCCAGCAGGGAGAGGACATTATGAATAGCAGCTCCCATCCATTCCCCTGTTAAACTACTAGATATTCAGGTCACACTAGTGCTTTGGCTGCACACCCTTCAACCATCCTGGTAGGGCTTGGATCAGAAGTCATGAATCAAGACAGCAGCCTCCTCTCACTCTGTATCTGTGTCATAATTGTTCAGTCTGGCTTCAGTCACTTGAGATATTTCCAGCACATTATCAGCTTCTATGTTGGTAACAATTATACGTTAGCTTACATGTATGTAGCCTCCTGAGTTTTTAAACTGGAGGGGCTGTCATTCCCACCAGCCCTACTAGCTTTGTTGTTGCAGAGATGGGAATTACAGTCCAGCATCATCTCTACCACTGATGCAAATAAAAATGGTTGAGTCAAAAAAATAAATTCTGATATACTTTTATGTGAAGGCTATGTGGAAATAAGAAAGGATGTGTCTATGGTTGTATTGATATTATGGCCAAAATTTGGAGAAGTGCAAATTTATCAAACCATTGCTGTTTTACTGTCTTCTGTGATTTATGTACAGCTGCTGGTGCTGCTTCATCAACTCTAGCCACGTAGACTTTGTTGAAGTGGGTGGAGTCTAAGTGATGTACATAAATAAATTAAATAAACAGCACATTTATGTGAACAATTTCTTCCCTCCCATTCCTTGTATTTTGAGTATAAGCCAAAGAAGATAGTGTAATAAATTAATATATTATAGTACAAGGTTCTAGCAGCTTTTTGAGAATGCAGGA